GCCGCCTACACCGAATGGGTGATAAATCTGGGCCAATAGGAGACAAAAAGTTTACGCTTAAGTTTTTGCTCCTTCTTAAGATGCATGGCAAATACCCAAGATTGAGGAAAACACACAGTTTTTTGTAAAAGCAATTTTGTTCTGCGCGTATATTCCAAACAATTTTTTCTTGATTAGGAATTAAAACTATCAAATTGCCCCAAATGCAACCGAAATATATACTGCGATATTGTTTGGCTCAAAAGAAGACGATCTGGCCCTAACTTTTGTTAAGAAAAAATGTCTGGCTCGGCTGTTATTGATGGTTAAAATGCTTAAAAAAATGTTTTTGGAAACATCGGGAGAACAATACGATGGATTTTCGTGAAACGCGCTGCGAATTTGCTCTTGTGTAATATGCATTTATATTTTGATGAAGCCACCGAGTTTATCTGCTGTTGGCAATCTTGAATTCTTAAGGGTATTTTTAAAAATATGAGAACTTTTTATTTGGTGTCGACTGATTTTCATAGTTTTTTTTCTGTTTCTGTTTATACCTTTATTTACAATTTGCAATTAGTTGGCGTATTATTCCTTGGACACGGAGATTAAAAATTACCAAGTGGAAAAAAGTCTTTGTTAGAAAGTTTTTTTCGATAATTTGAAATTATTAATTAATTTTGAGTTTTGCGAAAACGGTTTATAAAAATAACGCTTTTATTTTTGAGCTTTATCTACTGTTTCTAATAATAATCAAAATCACCCTGAATATTTCATGCTGTTCGAATCATAACTCTGATCGTTGTTACGTTGTGTTAAGAATTTTTGATGTATGTGAATATTTTTCCGTAATTTTTGTTCTTCATCCTTATTTAAAGTTTACCGATGTTTGCCGAGATGTACCGATTTCGCATAAGCCGATCTAGTGACTTTCAAGCTTTCGGGTTGGCAACGTTGCTTAGATGATATCGCAGATGTCAATTTCTAATTTGTTTATCCGTTTTCAGTCGGAACAGAAACGGATGAAAAAGTGCACAAAAACTAAGTCTTGTTGTATGGAAACCAGAGTTCGTGCCATTTTGTGGTTCCAGTAGGTAGAAGATTTCCTCGAAAATCTATTTATTCTGTGCAAACGGTTTCTTCGATTATCTATCCAGTGTTAGGGGCCCACAAGAAAATCGCTCTGCATTATGGTAAGTGCATCTTTTATAATCAATCTCTGGTTGGTGCTGGTGTCCTTTAAGCTTCGCCCATTCTGTTTAACTCAGTTTTTCACATTTGCAGCTGCTTATAAAATTACATCTAAATATTGCTCAGTAACGGTTTCCCGTTTTGTTTGCAGCCTACACAGAATACATTATTTGTTACTTCGATATAAACCTACTAATTAATTTTCTTCACTGTTAATTGGACTGGTTGAACTGAGGACACCAGTTTCTTGAATAGGTAGAATGGCCTGGTATGGCGAGTACTTCAGTACTCCCGTACACTTGAAGGCCACTTTAAACATTTTCAACTCCTGTGAGCCGCATTTTAGTGTTTACAGGCAGACAAGAACCGAAAAGCAATAACATATCTACGTTCAGAGAAGGCAAGAGAAGCCACATTCACCGTATGGCCTTTCAGCAGCAGGCAGCCCTGTAGTATCAAAAAGGTACAACAAATGCGTTATTGACTACGTTAAACTAACTGACTAAGGCGATATGTTTGGTGTTTAGATGGCAGAGGCGGGATTCGTGTTCACTGGATCGTACAAGGATCCCGATTCAGTGCAATGCTGTTTCTGTACGAAGCAACTGAATAACTGGGAAGCCAATGATGAGCCCTGGTCGGAACATTTGAAGCACTCGCCCCAGTGTCAGTTTGCTCTAATGCAAAAGCCGCAGGATTTATGGACAGTTGGCGAGTTAATCAAGGTTATTGAAGAGTATTGTTGCAATGAGGTCAACCGGAAATATGAAGAACTCGAAGCGGAGGCGAAGGAACATTATGAAAAAATGAGAGAAATGATAAGGTCCTGATTTGCGTGGTATTTATACACACAATACAATTATTTAAAAAACGTATATTCCTAACCCATTTTTTGGGTGCATCTAATTGAGAAGCACCAGAATTACACAAATTGCACTCAAAGCGCCAGCCACTATCGAATTCGCAGCCGATATGCCAGTTCCAGGCGCGTAAATTGTCGATTTATCCCCCAAATCGGATGTACCGCTATTGGAGTCACTTTTACCACTTCCAGAGTTACACAGGTCGGTTTTGCAGGATCTTTGGTATGTTCTGTAAGTGGAGTCTTCAGTTATTCCATCAGCTGGCACTTTGTCGACACAGTTTCGGCTCAAAGATGCTAATTTTCCTTTGGGGTCCTACACAATTATACGTATAAGTATACAGGGTTATTCACGCTATACGGCACGGACGTTTGTCGCTAAACCGTTTGATTTTTTTAAAGTATTATTTTATGAATTGTCCGACGCCTACCGAGCGCACATTTTTAAAATATTTTCGTAATGTACAGGGTGTCCACAAATTTAAACTAATCAAATAATAACTTTAAGTGGGTCTAACTTGATTAATTTAAATACAACCCCATATTTTTTTAACTTACCAGGAAATGCAATTTTTAATTACCTATCGAATGGTATTAGGATGTTAATAGTTAAGTTTTTGCCTTTTTACAAAATACGTCAAATAGTCGTTCTGTGCACCATTTGGTGTTGTTTAATTTAAGGTTCCAATG